TGATAATTACTGGATGGTTACTAGAAAACCATCGAACCCTTACAAGTAGTCAGGACCGAGCCCTTAGAAATGGATGCAACAAGAGCATTATTAGTAACTGCCTCACAATGAGGTACATTTGAGGACTCAACAACTTTCCTTGAGGAAAGGACTTTAGGGCCACTGCGGTTTTGTCCCAAGCAGGTTCTTTTGCTACGAGGAGTCCTTCGAGCCGACAGTCTGCGTTTTGTGCTTGCACCATGGAGAGGGTTGTCAGGTATTTTCTTTTTAGCGGCAGAGCGAGCAAAAGACTTAGCTATATCTTTGGAGGTGGGTTTAGCATTCCTTTTCTTTGGAGTAGTTGTCTTACTCATCATTTTATACTGTTTACCCGAGAGAATTTTAGCCCCAAGTCTGAGTGCTGCTAGTTTCTTGACTTTTTCCAGGGGAAGATCTGGGATAGTCACCTCAGAGGAGAGATCAGAAGTTGATTGGCGATGGTTGAACCTATCTTTAGTTGTTGGGCTATTAACAGGATGAAGAGTTTGAAGAGTTTCCTCCATAGTCTCCAGTACAAACTCGTCATCATTGTTATTCTCACCAATATAATTCCCCTCATACTCACCATGTTCCAACTGAGTTGGTGTTGACACTGCTTCACCACGGCGTAAGATAGGTTCCTCAATTCTTCCAAGGCCGACAATCTTCTTGGGGCCATCTCAAGATTGTGTTCTTGTTCCTTGGTTAGGCGTCGTGAATTGGATTTAGATTTAGACCCATAATGGTTTGTACTCAGGCTATGGTTATCGACACTTGGTCTTAGTTCCGTCCCACAAGGAGAATTACGAGCAACTCTGCGGGGAGAAACACAGGTGTCTCTGTAATTTGCATCATGATGGTTCCTAGGAGATCCGATATGGTCTCTATCTCCTCTCTTTGCCCTCCATTATGTTTTATGAAGCCTTTCACCATAGAGACTCCGTTGCTGACCTTTTGATGCGTTGTAAAGTGGTCGGCGGTAGGAGTCTCTGTTTTTGTCTTGAAAAACAGAGTCGTGGCGAGAAGAGTAAGTATTGGTGCTGCGCCATTCTTGTTTATGTTTGTTGGCGTAATCATTCTCTTTCGAGCTCCGCGGCGTTCTGAATATCCTATCTCATGTTCAAGTGTATGGTATTGAGGCGGTGAGTAAGAGTTACCAGAACCTCTTCCTCTATTAGTACGTGGGTCTTGTTGAGAGCTTTTGTAATGTTCTTGCGGGGGTCGAGATGATAGCTTGGTTCTTCATGTCTGGATTCCTCTCGTACGGTTGAGCTTTTTTCAAATCATTCCTTTTATGGTCAGCTTCGAGTCGAGTGAGAGTGAGTTGTTGATTAATGCTCGAAGAGTGATCCGGTGTGGGAAGAGATTGAAGTTGAGGGCAATTGTCTTTTTCATGTTACAAGGCCATACAATGAAAACAGTGTTTCCCAAGCTTGATGTATTCAAAGTCCACATACACTTCCACCCCCAAGGGGAATTGTATGGATTTTCGTCAGATCAGTGGTTTGAGGGCATCGACAAGCACCTTTATCTTTTCACAATCCACATCATGTTCCAAATACTCACCAAGTCGTTTCCCAATTGCACGCATATTATTATCAATGCAGCAGTGGATTGGCATTCCATGGACACGTACCCAAAAAGGTACTTTTGAGAGAAAGGTGTCAGAGATCACATGCTCCCATCTTTGTAACACAAACATCCACTTTTAAAAGTGGAAATGAGCTTCATGTAGTACCGATTGGAGGTCCTCCTAAGATTGGAAACGGAATTGGAACTTTTTAGGTCCTAAATCTCTGTTGGTAACTCGGTTCTCCAATCTCCAGACTTGTGGCATAAAACCCAAAAGGGCATTTGGGCGTTGAGTCTTGGTGTTAAGAACCCTACCGATGAGGGTAAGGTGATTCGCTTCCACCAGTGCAGGGTTCGATTCATCAGGGAGGCGTTTAGGGGGGTCGCGTATCCAGCGGTGAGATCCCCCGATTCCCTTCCCCTTCTCCTCCCTTTTATATCGACGGGACATTCGGATTCTTGAATATCAAGTAAAGGATGTAAAGTTGCAGTCACAATAAACAAAAAAACGAAAAAACGAAAAGCGGACGCCAAAGAGCGTAGGGAGACAAGAGCAACGGACGTATTGAGGGAGATATGGACCGATATGTAATTAGTATATACTTATGTTTTAGTTGGTAATTTCTATTCATGTAATTAGGTTAAACATATTGTGTATATAAGGCTATACCTAAACACGTTAATAAAACAAGAAAACCTTTACACAAATTAGACTTTCTTGTCATGGTATCAGAGACTAACCTAATTTATTAGGCATACAATCACCTTACCTTTTTCTCTATATACAAATTCGTTTTCTTACTTTGCTTGACCTTAGTACTATCGATTTCTATTTCTCATCGAAGTATTTTTCTAAATCATGGCTGGCGATGAATATAACGTAACTAAGGATACTTTGGCTATTACACCGATGCCAAAGATGCGTTCTGAGGCAACTCATCGCCGTATTGAT